TTGTAATTGAAAAAATTAACGAATTATTAACGAATTACGAATTAACGAAACGAAACTGCCCAGCCCTATTATTTACATCGTTTTGGGTTCTTGTGAGTTCCAGTTTCCTAAAGGAGGGCAAGAAGCAATCCCTTGGGGGAAAGATGCCACGTCCATCCTCCTTTGAAGACTAATAGCCCCCAAGCGCGACGGCACAGTATTGTATTGTTGTATTGTGTCTGAGGCCTTGGCCGATGTAAGCTGCATCGAGTCCTTTGGGAGATGCTAGCGGGGTACAAATAAAGTAATAATAATAATAATAATGATAATAATAATAATAATAATAATAAAGGGCGGGGTATAAATATAGGAAATAAATAAAAAATAAATAATCTTGCAGACTGGAATGATGGCCAAAGAGAGCTAGAACCTCCCTAAATCTCTTTTTCTTACAAAATACAATTGTTGGCCTAATGGATTCCTTCCTGTACTCTTCTGTATCCCTTAGGAAAGTATATAACTGGAACTGCAAAGGAAAAGACCTAACAAGGTGGACCAAAGGCTGCTCAGTCCCGGCTCCGTGGGACAAGTGGTAAACAGTCCTTTCTCCGGATTCTCTGCATTGATGAAGAGCGACCCCCACCCTTGATTGAGAATTGCGCTTTCCTGCTCTGCAATGGGGAACCCACGTCTCGTGCTCAGAGTCCATCAGGAATGCTGTTTGGCACCACTTTAACTGCCCTGACTCTATGCTAAGGGTCCCTGTGAGTTGTAGTTTGACAACGTCTTTAATTATTCTCTGACCAAGCATTCAATCGCACGGAGTCATGGCTGTAAATAAAGCGGTTTCAAACTGCATTCCTTCTACATCTGTTTTGATTTCATCCAATAAAACACAATTAAATCTCTGCCAACAAACAAAGCTAAAAAATGTATTGTCGAAGGCTTTCATGGCTGGAATTACTGGGTTGTTGTGGGTTTTTTCGGGCCATATGGCCATGTTCTAAAGGCATTCTCTCCTGACGTTTCGCTTGCATCTATGGCAAGCATCGTCATAGGTAGTGAGGTCTGTTGGAACTAGGACAATGGGTTTATATACCTGTGGAATGACCAGGGTGGGACAAAGGACTCTTGTCTGTTGGAGCTAGGTGTGAATATGTATTGTTGAAGGCTTTCATGGCTGGAATCACTGGGTTGTTGTAGGTTTTTTCGGGCTATATGGCCATGGTCTAGAGGCATTCCCTCCTGACGTTTCGCCTGCATGTATGGCAAGCATCGTCATAGGTAGTGAGGTCTGTTGGAACTAGGAAAAAGGGTTTATATACCTGTGGAATGACCAGGGTGGGACAAAGGA